TAGTTTTCTAGGACCGGCCGGGCCCCATTTTACTATTTCCAAACCCTAAGGATCCTAGGATCCACTAGGGACGGTGGCTCTATTTTTACTGGAATTTAATTTCGGTCAATCCTAGGCTTTCTAAAAGGTAAATCTTGTGGTCCCACAAAATGTGTAAACGATAATATATAGTCTCGTAAATCTTGCTGTCCTATAACATATGTGAACATCAGAACATGTATAGTCTGTAAACGGTTAAATTACTATTTTAGGATATTTAGTGGCACCCTTGTACCAACAACATATATTTAATGGCGAGGAAATAAGGTTTTTGTGATCATTAATTAGTTTGTCATTAAGGTGTTTTCGATTGCCTGCGACCAATTAAGAGCGACAAAACACTCACGTGACGACACGTAACTCAATTTAAATAAAATTAAAAATTGATGTGGCATAACTTACATGACGTGACATGAGGTAGGCAGAATATATAATAACTACTGTTAACCCCCAAAAAAAATAATAATAGAAAAAACTATGAGAGGATCTTAATATTTCACTAATTTTCGCTCATTTAGAGTTTGAGTAATCAAATATGGGTCCTTGTAGTGGCCCCCCAAGCCCAAGGTATGTTCCAACTCCTTCAAATTAGGGATTTTTTTGGGGCTATATATTAAAGTAGTAGATGGTTAATCATAATTACCTTTCATGAAAAGTAAATATGTGTGAAAAGAAACTTAAAGTGGACCACTCTATAACTTTCACAAATGCCGACTTGAAAGTTGTGATGACACCCATTTAACTCCTTCAAATTAGGGCTTCATTACACCACCTAATACAAGCTGTTTTTGTTAAAATCATGGCTAGTGTTCACCCCACTGCTAATTAATTAATTAATCAAGAGCTTGAGCTGAAGAAGGCACCGGGGTAGGAAATGAGATCAATTATACCATATATGTCTATGAGTTGTTATTTGAATCAATTCTCTAGCTTCGATCCTAATTTCAGCTCCAAATACGCATTGAGTACCCTAATTTGAAATTGCCTTTATGATTATTAAGAAGCCAACTACCATTGTCATGTCATCTAACTTCAGGCTTTAGCTATGTCAGCGAGAAAAATTAACAAACTGATATCACTTGTGGGGGGCACGTCAGCATTTAAATTTACTCTCCGCCGATTGGAAATATATATATTAATTGCAAACTAGTGATCACGAAATATACGTACATTGTTGTCGTCGTTGCCACTAAATATATCTTCTTGTCGTAAGGGTACCACGAAATACACCTTAGATTCCCACCTAAGGACGCGGCCTAAAATTACATCATTCCCTTTTTTTTTTACGTTCCGCTCTGTTGAGCTTGATCTCCGTGTTGAACGTTGATGATTCCTTAAAGAATTTGTTTCTTCATCTAGATAGACTGGTCTTAACAAGTTTATGAATAAAATGAAGCTTCAAGGATTCTGATCTTTTTCATTAATGACTACGTTTTAGATGGTCCTATTTTCTCCAAATGACGAGAAACCCCATTTCTGAGCTTTTAGCTCGGAAATATATGGGGTGGGAACCTGACTGAACGAAATGAATTAGAAAATGGAGATGTAATATATAGTTATGGCTTTTCTCAAAAGTAACTTTCCTCTCTGTGTGCGTCGTCATCATCGTCAATTAAAAAAAAAAGAAAATGATGAAAATTCATTTTCACCGTTGATTTGAGCTGAAACAAGCAAGAAAAATATATTTCTAAAACACCCATGAAAAAGGTTGGGAATGAATTTTTTTTAAAATGTGGATATGGGTTTCCTGTTTTAATCGTAAAGTCTGCTTAAAAAAATGCACAAAATAGGTAAGGGGATAGAGCTGGTAGAGTGATCAAATGCACACACGATGAGCTTCGTAATAAGATTTTTCAATAATACAGTAGAATTAGCTAGATGTTGTATATTAAAGAAAGGAAATTAAGCATACTATCATGCATATTGAAGACATTAATTGGACTATATCATTGATCAATATCTAATGTTTATTGTAAAAAATAAAATAAAATAAAATAAAACAATAAAAAAAATATCATTATTCTACCAACATCTTGTTATTTGCTCATCAACCTCTAACTCGTTATTTTGTCCTGATACAGTGATGTAGGAGTAGCGACACGTACTTTTATTCTAAGTTTAATACTTGTAGATTAGCATAGAAATTAACTGTTTTGCACCGACAAACAATAGCTAGCTAGTCAACTCAATCTTTAATTAAGAGGCTACCGCAGAAAATGACAGCTTAATTAGTTTGAAACTTTAACTCATTTCGTCTAGAAAACGAAACATAATTTATCCTTATAATTCAATTTCTTCTTTTTTTTCTAACAGAATTACATTATTAGAGAACAAAATTTTTCTCAAGTCCCTCTTCAGTCATCAATCCATAATAATTACTGTAAGATATTTATAATTACAAATCAGGCCACCCCCCCAAGAATACCCGGCCGCCCCGGAAATCACGTATCACATGATGCCAATAATGGGCCGTGGGCCTAGGCTTGTCTAAGCCCCGCTGGGCCCATGCACACTCACACACCCCTCACCCAAATCACGTGGCCGTCTTCCATGAACCCACCAAAGTGTCGTCCGCGTGGCACCCGCATTCCACGTCAGCGGTATCATCACGCGGCAGTCCCTCGTCTCGGATTCGGGCGTAAATTACGGGTTGATTTATGGGGGAGTCCGTTAAATAAAGCCAGAGCTTAAGGAACAATATTAGGGGCATTTTATAATAAATAATTAAGGTTTAGATCTTGATCCCCAAAGTGCGATCGGATTAATGTAGGACCACTTAATTAGAAGGTTATATTTAAGTATAAATAAATTGAGGTTAAGGGAGGTCCCCAAGTGACAAGACAAGTTACCAGACTAAATTAAGGACTTCAAATATTGAGACATAATGCAGACAGCATCTTTTGGGTACTACGTAAAAAAAGCTAGTATAATTCAAGTGTCAACTATGTGTTTAACTTTCTCAATGTCATGTTCACACGCTATTCTATAGTTTATATCTAGGTGGAGTATTGATGTATCAGATTTTAGTGTCATTAATTAGTCTTCTTAATTTGTTACAATTTGCATATCCGTGCTAATTTTC